AGAGAAAAACACAATAATGTGATACTTGGATTGGTCGTTTGGGAGTGACAGTGAAATATTTGCTAGCGTAATCAGAAGATTTCCAGTTCCGTAGAAATGCGCAATATCGATAAATGCTATTTTCTCCGTTAGCAAATTTCCAGCACAATTTGATTCTTGTCTTCGGTGTCTGATAAGCTCTAAAAACATATAACTCACATCAATGAAAGTTGATAATTTTAAGCATCAAAATTGCAATTTAATTCCGAGAAACTGTTGGTTGGCAAATTACCACAATTCTTATAAATATTTTAAATGATTTATAGCAAAATTCGAACATTAAAATCAATAAAAAATTTGAGTATGTTGTGATTGAAGTGAATCATATGAGTAATTCTGATTAATTTATCAAAACAAACCTTACAAACACTGTGAAAAGACCCGTTTTGGAGCATATTGCACATGAAGTCCAGTCACTCGAAAATCTCTGTTCCGGTGTTACTGATGTTGCCAGAAAAAAATGGTCTGAAATGAATTTTCTGTAAACAATCACAGATAGTATGTTATGCAAAAAAAGTTTGTCACTGCAAAATTATGTTAATGAATCTATTAATAAGCTGAATTTTTTATTTTAAATTGAACAGAAAAGTGAAACAATAGTTGATTTAATTCTATGTGATTTTGAATTATACCAAATTGAGAAATTATAAATTCAAGGCCAGGCAATGTTGACGGAATCTGAAGCAAGATTTAAGAAATTTACAATCTGAAATATCTAATCACAAAATTAAAACATCCTGAATACTAAAATTTGATCAACGAATTGTTGAAACCTTTAGCACTAGGCAACCTGACTACTGACAATTCATTAGTGGATTATTGTGTTCTGAAATATTTCTTTACATCCTAAACCTTCATGTAAGTTTTTTCATAAACAAGCTTAGTAAGTTACTCTATTTCTGCTGCCCAAAAACATAGCAGTAATGTTTTCCTTATTTTTAGTTTTAGCAAACAGTAACTTCGGTTTTTAAAAAAGTTGAAAAAAAAGTTTTTTGAATTGGAAAGGTACAGTAAATGAATTAAAACAAATATTAAGATAAAATAGAAAATGAAGTGCCTGAACATATTCAGAACTTTTGCTTACTCGACATTGCAACTACAAGTGGAAAAGTTCAAATTTTTAGATTTTTTGGCAATGTATTTTGAATGGAATTAATCAATACTCTTTTCAATTTCAATGTCGTTTTGTCCATGCTTACTTAATTTTAAGTATTTTTTTAAAATATAAACTAAAGATAAACTTCTCAAAGTCATCAATATCGTTGTTTTCTCATTGCAGAGTTATGACCTGAAATAATTTAAGAAGTTTTTTTCTAAAAAAAAAACTTAGTTTGCAGCAATTCAAAGCGTAATGGTAAAATAAAAAAAGTAAAAATTTTCATTTAAAAATTTGATGATTTTAAAAGTTTATTTTTAGTTTTAAAACTAGATAAGCATGAACACGAGACAAAAAACACACGAAATTGTTTTTAAAAAATGAAAAGATTTGTGAGCTTTATAAATTAACATTGTGTTTCACAATATAACAGAGTTCATTCCTTTAAACTAAGATTTCCTAACTATGATTTTAAATATCAGTGCAATTTATGTACAATATATTCTAAAGAAGAAATAAAAAAACTACTTAATTTGTCGTCTTGAAGTCGGGAATACAAAATGCTTCTGTTCTTATGATCATCACTTTTATCGCGATATATCTGCCACGGTGCGCCATCACCTTTATTTTTCCAGCAGCAAAATGTCCAGTTAAACTTACAATCAAGTGAACTACCATGAACTGCAAATAGGTCTCTGCATGTATCACAGGACATCAAATGTTTGAGAACGAAAAGATGTCACAGTGAAATGCTTTCATAAAAGGGTGATCATTTCTTGACGAATCCGTCGAAGGAATTGATTTTACGAATCTTTTCGGAATTGACAGAGTTGAAATCTGATTATTTCTCGAAGAAATTAGGATATGACAGTATATTTAAAACAAGTTTATCTGATCACTCTTAACAGATTGCATTTTATCATGCATTTCATCACTTCTAACGAGAGTAAAGTAGGAAAACGAACTAAGATTAAAAAGTTCTTGAAAAAGTTATTCTTTTCAAATTAAGCTGGTAATGCTTACCTTGGAACTGTGAAAAGGTGAACGGTAATGAAAAAATCAGAATATGCGACTGAACTGAGAACATAAAGATGTAATAAAAAGATTTAATTCGTATCACTCGCACTACTGACAGACAATAATAATTCCTGGAGTGAATGAAGAAATGTGCATATGGTCACAATTTCAGCAGCACTTCTTCCACTGTGGTTATTGTCGTGGATGTATTCATGGATATCTGTAATAGTTGATGTAACGAGTGCCCTCGTTGAACTAGTTCTTGATATCACCTACCCAACAGGATCATTGATCATGATAGAGACAAAATGAACATGTTAAGAACTATCATTCATAGATATTATCATTACTATGACGTCATCATTATCATTAATAAAGCCTTAAAGAAACTTGCAATTGCCTTTCTCTTTTTATCGTAATTCATAAGCAAAGGAATTGAAATTTTTTGTTTCTCTATTGTTTTCAAATATAATTTGCATTTTTAAAAATGCTTTTTTTACCGAATATGAAGTGACAGATGGACAAATATTATTTTTCCTTTTTTTTCAGATCGTATCATAAAATGCATGTTATCATTATCTGTGTATCAATCAATCACATATCACGATAGTCTGTTGAATGAAAATATGGATGATACTCTAGTGATGAATGTGGTAATCCGACATTTCTTTCTTTTGTCCTATATTTCGTCCTAGATATTTTTTTTTGGCAGCACAATTTACCATATTAGAGGTTTCTTCAAATATTTCCCTTTTGAGAATTTCTAAAACAATTTCAAAAATTTTATTTGCAGTATGACTAATTGGACAAGTCATCGTGCCATTTTTTTTTCACACAATTGACGAAAATCTTAATTTTATAAAAACTACTTCGTGGTGGGTGGTTTATTCCAGTTTCACTCTTGAAAATGTCATTTTACAATTTGAGCGGTTATTGCTTCAAAAATGTCGAAGTAATTTATCTCATTTCAAGAAATTTTGGATAAAAATTTTATTTTTTTATTATTTATTATTATTATTATTATTATTATTATTATTATTATTATTATTATTATTAATATTATTATTATTAGTAGCTGATAAGCAACTACTAATTACACTTATTTTATTACGTTCAATTTTCTTTTCAGTAATAGAGCTTTTAAATAAGTATTTCAAAGCTAAACTGAAACAGAACTTAGCTTCATCAAATTTTCAGAAGCCTTCAAGCAGTGGCAGACATGTGTTCGATACAACAAAATCGTATCTTTTGAAAAGATTTTTAATATTAAGTGAAACAAAAATTATTAAATTTATTTTGTCTAAGTTGTAGTTTGATTAATCGGAATTGCGATATAAAATTGAAAAGAAGACAGATGAGCGATTATATAAAATTAAGTGTTTTTTGGGTAAAACTTCGTTATAGAACTCATTCAGTCCACAGATGAAATTCATTTAGGATAATTAGAGGATGATTGATAAGAGGTTGAATGCTTGAAATGAGTGGAATATTTGTAAAAAGTTTTTAAGAAGTCATCGGACTGCAAACATACCGGAAATAGGTTCAACAGTATACAATACAATACGAACCGGTGGTGAAACACTTGTTGACAAATCATCTGAGAGCAAGGAAAGTGAGACAGGATCACGTCCCTTGAGCGAAACGAGTTTAAGGATGGACCATTCAAAAAGCTTCAACGTATTTAAGTATGTCTCTCAAACAGTTGGCTTTACTTCTCTTCAGCAGAGTAGTATATTTAATTTCAACAAAGACTAAGTGTTTTATACATCTTTTTTTTATGGCAAATTATTTTGGATTCATGTAATAAAATTTTTAATGAAAAATAATGAATAAAATTTGTGAAAAATAATGGTGGAATTTAAATCTTTTTAATTAGTTGTAATTTTCATACGTTTTAATGGAATGACAAAGTGGCTCAATTTAGCATGTTTATTTAAATTGCAGTTGAAATGTTCCGTAAGTGAATAATGGAAAGTCTACAAGTAATTTAATTCAAAATTTTTATTTCGTCGAAATTTATTTGCTTAATTATGAAGTAAAGCAAACTTTTAATTGTCTCGCCATTTTCTGAAATTATTTCATAAAATTATTAAGAAGGATTATGAGAGAAAAAAATGGTCTATGAGAAAATTAAAGAAAAGGAAGAATGAAGACTGTTTTTCCTTTTTTTTAGTAATGAAGCAGAAAGTGAAGTGAAATAGAAATTTGTGAGGAAGTTCACCTTTAGTTGTTTCATTTTTTAATTTTTTTGTTGGCAAAAGTAAAACAAATTTCTTCATCATATATAAAAATCAATGCACAAAATGGAATTAGAATAATAAATAACTCTGCAAAATCTACCTAATTAATTGATTAAAGTTAAAGTCGACATTTTAGCAGAGGTTGACGTCTTAGGTAAATTAATTCCTATCAGTTCACTTTTCTCCCTATACTTTTGAAGTTTTTTAAATATCAAGGGGTGAAAAAGGACATGAAGAGCCAGAAACGAATTGATGCTCTACTTGCTTTCATTTTAGCATTCTGTGAGAAAAGTTAAGACCCTAACTTGTCCTTATTATTAACTGCCATTCTTTGACTTATAAAAAAAAAAAACATTTTGAAATTCGGATTCTTGCTGCTCACGATTCGTCATATTTTTTTCCTAATAAAACAACTGCTATGGAGCAGATAGTTTACAGCAAATTAAAATGGGCTAGTTGAAAGAAGTAACCATAAGGAAGCAATTTGTTGTTTTTAGTTAATAACAAACTGGTAAATAAAAAGTATTGAAGAACAAGGGCCAACATATAGGAAAGAATGGAGTAAGTCAAGTTTCAGGAATAAATTAAACAAATGATAAATGATAATTATGTATAGATCAGAAAGCCATACTAAATTATCGAGGGACAAAATTCGATCGGATTCTATCTCAAACAACAAAGTAGAACGAAGAACGAAAAAAAGAAACAAGGGAGTTATTGTACGAGAATACGAAAATGATGTGAGTTAAATCAAAAATAAAGTTTTAACTCGCAAAAGTTTTTATATGCAATATTTGAGACCCAGATGATTATTTATAATTATAGGTTGAGGATAAAAATTCTCCATACAATGACCTTATAACAAGGTATTCTTATAATCATGGACCTGGTGGTTATTGTGAAGATGTTTCCGGAAATGCAAGAAATCATCGAAGTAGAATATGAAAATTTATAGTCTAACTAGAGACTAGAGAAAAATGATGAAGGATGGATCACCAACTTTGGAGTGATTTTGAAAGAAAATGACAAAAACGCCAGCACAGTTCTTTTCTATTATGCTATAATCTAGTTGAACCAGATCATCCTTCGAACGATGATGAATTACACAGCCTTACTGTAGAGCAATTTTAGTAGAGAATTAATTTTTAAATTCAAATTAATTTTCCTGTAATTTTTGGACAGTATTTAGTGAGAAAGAACAAATCACGACTTCGACTGCTATCGAGAAGGTTAGGCGTCTCTTTATACGACGGCACTGATTCGGTACGAGACTACAGTTCTCGGAGTTCGAGGAACGTAAGTTTAAACTTAGTGATTTGAATGCAAATAACTTAAGTTGTAGGTAATTTTATTTATTAACTTTCGGGTTGTAAATTTTTTGTAATTTACATATGTCCATAATTGTTTTTGTAGAGAGAAGTATATGAGGAGACTGAAGCTACTTCTGGAACGGGGATTTCGTTGTTAAGTATTCCAGACAAGAAGAAAACTCAGATGAGACAGAATGCTATACTGATAACCGATATAGCAGGTTATTTCTTCAATTTTCATTCAAGAAATGAGGATGCGCAAAAACTATTCTAATCCTATTTTTTTGTCAGTCTTTGTTTTTGGAAATGAAATTTAACGGTTAACGTAAGCAGTATTTTTTTTATAGCTATGAGAAGTGACAAAACACCACAATGCCTCTTACAACTTCCGATTTCGGTTTGCCCTTTTTCATATCCTTTTGTTCTGATAAAACTAACAATAATATCATTATGGTTAGTTAACTAAATCGACCACAATCGCTCTTACCGTAATATGATTGCTCGCATAATCTTTTTATTCAGTCGGCAAGAGATAGGATCCAAAACATTTTATAAATATTCAAATAATGCAGGTGATCACAGAACAACGTATTCGTGTCACAACGACGGTACGTCAATTATGGCTCCATTCAACAATTTACGTCTATTCTGCCAGTGAGCTGGGACATTGCAATATTGAAGAACTCGAGAAAATGCTTGTAGTAAGTGTTTAACTGTTGTTTGTGTATTGAATTGGAATGGAAATTGAACACTGGATGCACTTCAATTGAAACTATTTTTTATGAATATTTCACATAGAAATAAATATTTCTTTTTTCCTAATTATGTTTTTGCAATATGATTTAATTGCTATTGTCTATTGAATTGGTGGAAATTGAAATTGGTCACTGAATACAGAAAAAACACATTTAACACTTCAAACGATATACTCTTTACCAAATGTTGTTGACAGTATAAAAATGGATGCATACAAATTTTTTGTAAATTAGGCAGATTTGTTGTATAATTTATGAAATAGTAATTTAGACATTGTTTATGCTGCATTTGTAAGTTGAAATCTGGTATTCAGTGTTTAAACTTTAGAGTGCACCAATAATGAATCGCGAGGTCAGTGAGACAAAATGGGATAAAAGGCCACTAAATTTGAAAGAAGACATATTTGTCAAAAATAATATAATTAAAATAAGACGATCAACATTATTTTGTGATTTGCAAGATGGTAAACAAGTTATAACAAGTGATCGTCGTACTTATGATAATTTATATCCAGCAGAAGTAACTAATATTGCGCAACGTGAAGTTTATGGGTTAGTATATCAATTTGAACAGTTTTGAAAATCTTGTCTGTTTAGTATAATATTAATGCCTATCTTTTAAGTTTTAAGGTATCCTTAAAAATTATGATGGTCTTTATTCAGATAACTTTTCTGAAATTCTCTGAGATTCAATACGTCTATATTTCTTTCCTTTTCTCTTTATTAAACATATTATTAAGAAAAAACATTTAACCTATTGATTTCAGTAATGATGGATTGATGTTGCTTTTTTTGTAAGACAATCTGTAATCTTGATAGAAATATGGATTTGCTTTAGTAATGTAGCCTTGAGACCACAGTCAATGTTAAATATTACCTTGATCTGTGGTGAACGGCGATCCATCAACGGCAATATTCGACTGATCGAAAAGCTGATTATCACTTTGTCCAGTAGCAAAGAACCCGAAGCAAGCCATCGTTTGCAACGTCAAATTGAAGAACGAGTAATTAAGCCAGAGAATTATCATCTACCAATACAATACACTGAGGAAGTACTGATTGGACAGCGTCGTATTGATATTACTCGTGAAACAGAGATTAACCCTCCGAAAGGATTAAGTGAGTTTTTGACCGCTGGAGAGCCGCAAATATTTGAATTTGGAGAAATACGAAAATATGGCAATTTTGCGGAATCATGTGAGTATTCTTAATTTTAAAAAGTTCCAGGTTAAGTTATTCTTAAATAAATTGAATTAAATGCCTATTTAATGTGGAACTTAAGTCCATCAATGATCTGTTAGCTTTGATAATTTCAGAATATTACGGATATCAAAATGAAGTTTTTTGGTATTATAAAATATTGTGCATAATCAAACACTACATTCTTCCATATTATCTTTTGATAGTTCTTAAACTTGCGTTTAACAAGCACCAATCGCTAAATTAAACGCAAAAATTTATGCAGAATTTGAAGTTCTGCGTGTTTAGCTACTTAAGAGGGTAACTTACAATGTCAAAAAACTTAAATTGATCTATTTATATAAAATATATATTGAAAGATGATATTTTAATTAGTAAAACAATGTGTCACAGACGAAACTGTGGACTGATCAATTACATTCTCATTGAATTCTAGGTGATAATAATAATGCTTTTTTGGACATAATCAGCTTATTCGTAGATGTCAACCCGCAACATTCCTCGAGACATTTCATAGTGTTGAATCTTGACTGCTTATTTACTTAAATCATTATGATAATTGAAATATGAAGAAGATAAATTTATAAGCTATTTCCTCAGTAGTTGAAAATCAAAAATTGAGAAGTAAAATTACCGATATAAAGATAAATATTTATTGTTAGACGTTTGTCATTTCGAATCAAGAATTCGTCTAATAATTTATAGAATTACAGTAAAATTCTTTGAAAGAGTGATTGCAATACAATGTTACTGCACAACCCATACAATCAATCTTATTCGTTGCTTTTGTCAGAAACATTTTTTGATGGCATGGAGGAGAATTATGTGCACAGAACTATTAATCTCAATAAGGACTTTATCTTGAAGCATTTCATAGTATCGTTGTCTTCTATTTCATTTCAAATTTATCTTCAGCATCTCAATCGTTTGGTCATATTCCATCAAGTTATCCCATCCAGCGATCCCTGCCATCATTTTCAACAGTTGGACAGATGCGCCAGGTTAAAGAAACGAAACCGGACCAGTTTTCATCTAGCTATGTTTCCAGGTATTTTACTACATTTTCTAATCTTAGTACAGTCAATTTTGTATTAAGCAAATTTTTTCAGTATGAAAAGTGTATATGTTTCATTATTAAAATACTAAAATAGTTGAAGGAGCAATAGACCATTTAAGTTAGATGAGAAGGAAAACTTGACCGATATTAGCAAACAAGGGACCTCTGTAAAGAATGAATTTGTTCAACTCTGAGTTACTCATGACTCTTTTATTCCAACAGAATTTAACAATTTCTAGATATCGATCGCAATCATTTGAGGCAGATGAACATTTAAAAGGTAATACTGCTGACACATAAAACCGCCTGACACATCTTTTGGCACGTTAACTTTATCTATTAAACCATTTCGAAATGCAGGATTCAACAAATATTTGACCATTATAGAAAATTATGAATTGCGTAATGTTCTTATCACAAATGACATTTTGAATAAATTACTAATTTTTCAGAACAAATACCAATACAGAAATTTTACCCAGAAACCCAGACTAAAATGCAGGTTATACAAGTAAAAATTCAATTCCGCAAATTCTAAAGTTTCTTTAAATTTTGATGAGTCTTCAAAAATATAAAAATGGTCCTAAGAACCTGATATGTTATTACTTAGTATATTTTAGGGAGTAAATGCTACTGGAATACCAATCATAAACAGCACTGCAGAATCACAAGTAAGCTTTTTTAAAACCAATAGGTTTGGAATCTTAACAGCTTCCCATGGTAAAGCTTTGGAATTTCATATTATTCGCTTTCCTTCTAAGCTTTAAATTTTAAAATATTAAAAAAAAAAAACACAGTTTGTGATAGGACTATTAGTAAATTTAAGTTTCAGCTGATGAAATAATGCAAGAATGATCAACCAAAATTAAAATGCTTTTCATTTATTGCAGGTATCTACCAAACAAAAACAACTTATCAGTGGTGGTGCAAAGCGAGAAAAAATAGGTTGAATGTTTATTGACCTTTTTTGTTAAAAATTTTAAATGCATAGTAATTTCTAAAGATTCAGGAATTTATGCAAATTTTTATTAACATTCAAAATCATATAAATTGAAGATGCCCAGAAATTTGCCCTGCATTATTTGATAAGCTACTGCAATAATCATAATCTACTGCAATCTGCAGATTTGCAATCAAAAAAGGCACATTCATTACGTCGTGGTTTACGACGTTCAAGCCGTTGGAGTAGATTTGCACTAAGCAGATCTCAATCCCATCCAAATTCTACAGAGTCTATACGGACAGTACCTGCTACTTTCAGCCCGTTGGAAACGTCAACACCAGTTAAGAAGGTCATCGAACCTTTTAATATTTCAGTGTAGTGATTTATTGGTACATTCATTAAACAAACATTTTTTAAACAATTCGACTTATTCCAGAATATCTAAAAGTGTAAAACTTTCAGACTCCTACAACGGCAAAAGATTTGATTGACCGGAACAAATTTCCGATGAAGGAATGCGTGAAGACATCAAAAAGTCAAAGTTCAGGCACTGGAACACATATACGCTCCACTCTTGATTGCGATATCACACGTGAGTTTCATTTCAATAAATATTTAGTCTAGGACAAAGCAAGATCACTTTTTTTTATAGATGATCATTTCTTCACTAATATTGATTTATTTTGCGATTGAGTAGTAGGTTAATCTAATTTCTAGAACAAATCAATAACCACATAATTACTGCTAATAACTACGGCATGATGACATCTGCAAATATAATGATATTACTTGACTTGATGAATCTATTTTAATCAATTTGTAAATCATTTAATTACAGCGGTGTACATTTAAAGAAAAACTTTGGCAAAGAAATCAAAATATTTCAGTAAGTACAACCAAAGAGGTGAATGTGACAGAAATTCCAATTGAAATTAAAGGGGTGCTAAATGGTTTGCCGTGGTGTACAACGATCAGATTACGAGTAAAGCACGATGCTAATGAGAAGCCAACTTTTATTCCTAATCGATGTAAAATGTTCTAAATTTTATACTTATGACATTCACCCGTCCTTCTTATTTACCTCGCCATGTCTTTTTCTTTCTGTTCCTGTTCTAAATACAATGATTAACAAAAGGTACTCAAAAATATGTGATATGTTAAGAGCGATAACGACCATTTCAGAAAGCCAAACTGCTTAGTCATCTTGGAAAAAAATCAAATTACAAACTAAGTTTCAATCCTTTTTTCAACTTAAACTTCATTTAAAACATTCTATCGTTATAGATTATCATATTATTAAATATGTTTTATAGCCTAAAAAAAAAAAAAAAAAAAAAAACATTTGCAGTATCACTCAATCACAACGTATTGTGGCAAAATGAGAATTTACAAAAAGAACAATTAAAAGATGCGACTACTGCTATAAAGAAATAAATCTGATAAATCATCGCCGACTAACTGTATGTATCTTATGACGTCATTACTGGATTACACTAAGCTAATGCTCCACTAATAAAAATGATTACTTGGTCACATGTTACACGTCACAGTAAATATTTCGACAATTTTTACTCAATATTAGATTAGTTCAATTTCAGTTTCGTTCCATTCCTTTTTCTAATTATTTCTCATGAATAGCAACGAAAATAGACTAAAGATAATAGGACCTTTCTAATCTTAAACTACATTTAACTAATAAAATAAGAAATTCTGTAAAAAGAAGAAAAAAAAGATCAACAAGGACACTAAAAATGGCACGAAGGAATGGATGAAATGCTAAATATTAAATAAATTAGTTTCAAAAGAGTTCGAGAATTTATTTCTCTCTCTCTCTCTCTCGTTCTCAAGCTGAATTCATTATAGCACTAATGTCACCTATACATAATGTTCAAATCCCAGAAGAGATGTTGAGGATACAGGCCTATTCTCATTAATCGTTAAGCAGCTATTTCGCATATTGTAGCTTTGATTAGCCATATGATTCATGGAAGAATATGGTATCTGAAAAATGCATTACTACTTCTTTTAGGAAAGAAATTTCATCTCTTAAAGAAATTTCATCTCTTCTTCTATGAATTGGAAATGATTATATGTTTTTAAATCAGATATTTTTTACCTGGACGAAGTGCTGTGAATTTTGCTGCAGAATTGTATTTGGTAAACTAGGAACTTGGGCGTTAACTTCGCATGGGACATGTGAGCTCAGGTTATAGTATTCCTTAAAGTGATCAAAGAAACTGGAAGAATTCGACGAATTTGAGCTTTCGGGTGTCATCGCAGTTGTACCGGAATTCAATATCATCTCCAGCGGCGTAGGTGATATTGTAACGAGTCGTGGCTTCTAAATTTTTCAAAATAAATATATTTTTATCATGAGCAACTTTGAAAATCTTTGAAAAAAACTTGATGACAAAATTCACGAAATTTTTTGCATGTGATATTTGTAAGAATTACCTTCACATTTCTGCTTTTTGATCTCCCATTCCCATTTGTCACAGTGTCGTTTTGCATTCGAAGATTTCTGAAGTATTGAACCACTTCCCGGTATTCTTTGTAATTTGCAATTTCTTCTGGTGTTTGATCCATATTATCAGGAATGTATCGTCGAGCACCAGCGGTCACTAACATGTGAACCATTTCAACATGTCCCTGAGAAGCAGCCAAAAACAGTGGTGTTTGTCCCTGTGAAAAGAAACTACTGCATCGAGACAAATTTAATCGTCGTAGAGAAAAATAAATATTGTATTAGTTCTTCGTACAATATTTATTAAAAAACTAGGTAATTTTGAAAATGAAACTACCAATAAGCAGTTAAGTAAGCAGATTATATAAATGAAACTGTATTGCGCCCGTGTCACTTTGATAATCACATTACCATGTGATCCTGAATATTTAAATTAGCGCCTCGTTCCACCAAATATCTTGCCAATTCTTGATTACTTTGCATTATGGCATAATGAAGTGCTGTTCTGCCCTTGTACATTTCACCATTGACATGATTACCAGTACAGTTAATATCAGCCCCCGCATCGATCAATAGAGCAATTGCCTCAGGATCTCGATAGCCAAGCTTAGCCACGGTCATAAGAGGACTACAGTCTGCATCATCGATCGCATCTACCTTAATAAGCATGAAATCAAGTGAACTACCCTGAACTGCAAATATATCTCTGTATTTTTGTTGAAAGATGAACTAAATGGATCACTATTCATTCAAAACAATCAACCTTAAATTTTGGCAGCAATTTTTTGAGATTAAATTTGAATTTAAAATATTTTCGAAACTGAAGACAAAATAAAGAATTAAAGTTGGGAACAAAAAATCTCCATAAATTAAAACATGCCTCTATCTCTTCCGTTTCAAGAAGAATACGAATAATATCGGCTGCATTTATAGAAGCAGCATGATGTAATGTTGTACGACTATGAATATCTGATATTGCAGTATCAGCACCAAATCGCAGCAAGCATTTCACTACTTCAGCACGTCCTGCTTTTATGGCCATAATTAACGCCGTCTGACCACAGTCATCGACAGCATCGACAAGAGCTCCAGCTAAGAACAAATTCTCTACATCCGTACAACTGATTTCCTCACCCTTTTCCTGATTCAAGGCTGTTAGCATCAGTGCGGTTTTTCCATCATTACTTTTCGTATTAACAAGCAATTTGTCGATCTGAATCTTGGTTGCAATTCATTAGACATCTTAATTATCAAACTATTAATAATTCAGAAATAAATAATGTGAAATTGACCGAATGATCACATTTGTTGAAAAGATAAAGTTAATTGAGGAGTAGAAACTGAAAAAATTGTTATTAATTATTGGGTAATGAAAACTAAATATGATGACTAGGTCATCTCCAAGTAATGACAACATGAAATTGGAAAGAAGCTTATTAAAAAACTGGTTTGTCAATAACAGAACCACATATATTACAATGTTTCTTATAATTTTCCATACTTTTATTTTTTTGACTGCAGTTTTTTAAGGCTTAAAAGAAAAAGAAATACAAAAGTGAACGAGTTTTCACCGGAGTTTTGATTGCAAATGAATCCATTGCCTGAGTATGAAGCACAGTCCACTTTCTTTTGCATATTTTTTCTTCTTCAGGATCAGGAATCACACAAACTTCGATAAAATGATGCTTTTGTTCATTTTCGTTAACTTTTTTGTTTGGTATACCATTACTTTGAATATTTCCATTACTCTCTTTAAACAATTTTAGCGGGAAATCTATAAATAAGTTTGTTTTCCCCTTCTATCTTAATAAAAAAGTCTCTAAAATTACATCATTAGTTTGTCAGGAAATACAAGGTTGCATCAACGACACTTACAATCATCCAGAGTAGGTGGGAACCACGTCCCGACCACATGAACCTTCTTTTGTAGTTGTCTCGTAGTATTTCGATGCTTTTTGTGAAGTGTAAATAAGATGGCAATCACAAATGTTTGCATCACAAAACCCGAAAGCGTATAAACCATCCATTTCTTCCAAATTGTGGTACTGGATGATAGCTCAGCTTCAGCAGCGTGTATTCGTGCACCGACACGCCATAGCAACTGGAATACACGTGTAACCTTCATTTCAAATCACTGTTAATCCCGGATTCTTCATAACTTACGAGTAATTTTTCGTAGCAGTACAAATCATTAATCATTAACTTTGCTTTTTTGACAACTAAATTATCCAGTTCAAACATTATCCTACCTGGTTTGCGCTCATTGCACCTACGAAATTAACGGCTTGTTCAATATTACTAATTTGATGTTGACAGTTAGCTCCCTTGCGACATTGTGCTGTTTCAACATTTAGGTATACCTTTGTACCATGCAATCCTGATGGGAAAAAAAGTTTTTATTTCCCAATGTTTAGTTTTTCAAGTGTTTTAAAAAATCAATTTGAATTTTAATAAGCTCAAACAAACATGAACTGATACATTCTGATCTGATAAAATATTAACGAAGTGCTAAAAATTGATATATATTAAAAATTAGAAATTTAAGAAGCTGAACTAAGGCAAAGTCAACTTTACCTCAAAATTTAAAACAAACCATCTGTTTTCAACCTTATATTCTACATGAATATCTTACAAACGATTAAGATAACAAAAATCCATCAATAAAATTTAGACATTGTCAACCTTTTGCATCTGATTTCCATGAATAAAGTCGTTTATGATTATGCCGATCAACAGCAATAGTAATTCTCGCTCGCATACCTTGGCTCAGGATGAATTGCAAGACAGGTGCGCGTTTCAGAAATTCATCTGACTTCATAAGGATTATTAGACTCAAAGCTCCTTCCAACTAGAACGAAATATCAAAAGTTATTTCTGCTTTAAAAAAAGTTAATAAGTAATTACTGACTTTAACTATTGATGTACCAATAGTTAACGCAGTATGATGAAGCATAAATTTTTCTACATCAATTAATTGCGACTGAAGGTCAGCTTAAATCGTGTCACATATCATCAGATTTTGAGATATAGTAAGCTAACTTCAATTGATGCTAAAATGGGGACTGATAGCTTTTATCAATACTATCTATATTGATGAAGTCAGAACCAATATTTACCTTGGCATTATTTCGTGCTACTCTTACTATAACGTGAACTCAGAAACGTAATTAGCGTATAACATAACCTTATTATACTTAATTTCCTGCGTGCAATCAACGCCATCAAAATAGCACTCTTCAGTAAAGCATTCATAATCGCAATATCCGTCATTGAAGCGAGCGGAACAGTAATCTTCAAACAAACATGTTTCGCTTTTTTCGTGACAATCGAATCCATCCAACAGACATTCAAAACGATCACATACCTTAACAAATCAAAGATGATTTTAACCAAAGAACAATGATGCCAGTAATGACCCACATACAAGCGATTAGTGAATCAGCATCTCTTCTTTTGAACAGAGTTAACATTGTGAGACTATTTTGAAATTTGACGGAGAAATTCTGAGGAACAATTAGAAGCATTATTTGTATTTGCAGTCATTACGAACCGAATCGCATTTATTATCGTGGAATACTCGGCCGCAAAAATCAGAAAATGGGCAAAGCCGAAACGGTTGTAAATGAGCAGTGCAATCGAATCCATCATATTGGCACGATGGATAGTTGCATTCTGAATCACATAAATTGTTGTCAGCTTTTGATGAGCAATTATGAAGCAAACAAATCTGCTCCTCAAATAACTTTTCGAGATGATTATTTTCTAGTGAGATACGATGCTGCTTGCACATCCGACCTTCGAAACCAGGTGGGCAGATCTTCTCACAATTAGTGCCATAAAAAGCTGAAAAATCCATATAAATAGTTGCAATGTGCTTAATAATTCATTTATTAGTCACTTATTAATTAAAGTTAATTAGTCAACCATCTATTGATTATTGAAAATTATTGAAATATTAATGTTAAATTATCAACTATTTGATTACGGAATTACTTCTAACAGATATACAGATGATATTTACTCAATTTGCAAAATTGGATTAAAATAACGCAAATAAAGATTTCATTGTTCAAAAAAAGATTGGGGACAGAAAAGTTTGGGAAAATGAATTACTATTTTGACAGATGCATTCATAACGATTGCCATAGTCGAGACAAGATGCGCCATTAAGGCACGGATTTGGCTCGCATTCATTATCATGGATCATGCAGTAAGGATCATTATATCCTAGAGGACAATCACAGTACCATGAACCAAATGTGTTCACACATATACCACCATTGAAGCACAATTTTTCATTCTACAACAAACAAAATTCAAACTAACTGACTGCTCACACACTGTTTTAACAATAAAAAAAATACTTTAAAAAAGTAAGGAAATACAAATATTTTTTATTTTTAAAATATATTTTTTGCTCTTCATTTCGTTCATCTGTAGCTGCTTGCCTTCCCGATTTCAAATTTGACTGTAAAACTGAAACTTGGAACCTCCAAACATTCGTTTATATCAGTGGTGCAGTTTTGACCAGTGGTACCTTTCATGCAGTTGCAAGAAAACTCGCCACTAGCTGTGTCCGGAATGCACTCGGAACCATTTCCACACGGTTTCTGCATACAAGGGTCATCCAAATGACAAAATAGCCCTGAGTAAACAATAAAACTCTCACGAATACCTCAAAGCATCCATTATACTACAATCACTCAATGGAAAATCTCTGTGGGATTTCTTTTGGAATGCACTGAAGTGTGGGAAGATTATCGAATATTGGTCACTAATATGTGTGAAAAGTCATTACGCAAGTTAACCTTGACCAAATTCACGTCATAATTAGACTCGTATTAAATAAAACAAACCAATTCTTCCTGGCGGACAAGCGCAAGTATATTTGGCTATACCATCAATACAGGTACTTCCAATAGCACATGAATTTTCTATGCAGTCATCTTCGTCTCTTGAACAGTTCTTTCCGGAATAACCGTTTAGGCAAACACACTCATAGTCATTAGGACCAACATTTACACATGTTCCACCATTTTCGCACAAGTTATTGCTAGGTTTTTCACAGTAACTTATAACTGTGTCCTTTTGGATAAAATTATTTCCTGAAATTTGACTTATTTAATTTCAGCTTAATTACAAGCTGATTTTAAGATAATCAAAGTATTAAAACAGAAACTTTTATGTAAAATAAGATGATTTTAAAAGTGTAACTATCGTAATCACAGCAAATATGTGTGGACTGATTTGTGCTACGTAATAAATCAGTACAAAAGGTTTTTTTTTTTTCAAGTTAAGTGAAAGTAGGATCGAAATATTATAAATTTAATAAATCACCTGCAAATGTAAAGTAGCATTGGAAGAGTGTCACTGTGAGAAGACGGATAAACATATTTGTGATAAAGATTAGTTAACGAATGAACAAAATGAAATAATTGCGGCTTGAAGGACTGGAATATTTTTCTTTCAGGAAGATTATTAAATGAAAATAATTTCGAAAACTTGAAATTTCAAACAAAGAAGTACTGCTATTGAGAAGGGCAAAAGTTGAAAAAGCTGAAAAACAGTAGAAAAATTAAGATTTCTCTAGAAGCGAACAAGCTAATAAATTTGATCTTGTTTGCGCACTCTAAATGCTGGGAACTGATAAGGAAATAAATATGTAAGGAATTTAAGCTGATAAAAGATGCAATTAATTAAATGATAGATATTGATGGGTAAACCTTCTTCGTCAGCACATATTTCAAAACAGTCGAAGATTGATACCCTTCTGATACCTGACATTCTGTTCAGAAAATGAACGAAGGAAATTGTCGTGAAGAAGATCAAATGAAATGGATGTCAATCTCAAATTGTTGTGAATGCAACGAACAATAATAATAAGTTTTCGTGACCTTTAACATAATCACTACAAGCCAATTAACTAGAAGAGAAGACCCGAAAATGTTTGTAGCAATTTTTTCCCCTTAGGTTACTGTTTCATGTTTCATTCATGGACTTCTTCAGCTTTTCTCAAAGTGTTTCAGATTATATCATCATTACGTGAACTTGATGCTTATCCGCCACGAAGTAACAAAATGTACTTAATAATTCGACAATTTAAATTTTTTATTCGGAAATGGTGCAAGGATTACAGGAATTATGGCAGGCGCAAAGAGAAAATTGTGTTTCAAAATAGTATTTAGTTAATTAATAGAAATACTTTACAATCCCATTATACTTTATCAGTATTTGCAATTTGAAGTTGCTTAATATTTTTTCCTTGCTGTTCTTATCCCACATTCTTTATTTTTTGGATATCGTTTCTGAAATATTTTTTTTTTTTTTTAGAGAGCTATTAAAATACTGGTCAATTTTCTAATGATTCTCGAACATCTTTCTCACAATTCAACTCGCACTTAATTTTTGTTGAACTTTATCTACTTGCTTCTTAATTGGAACAATGCGGACACAAAATACTGTCAGAAGTTTCTCTGGAACTATTGGAAAGAACATATACGATAATATGTAAATCTCATCTTTTTCATGAATAAAGAAAGTAATAAAAATGTAGTTCACTGTTTCTTTTGATTTCGGCTTTTTTAATTTGAATGAATAGCAGTATTGAAATGATGGAGCACAGTAATGAAAGTTTATACTAAAAAAATTTGCTATAATGTTAGAAGTATACCCATTCTGCTTCTAATGGAATTTTGTTCCTCTGTCTTAATACCGAAATCCTCAGTTGTTTTCTCTTCATCTTCCAAAAAATAAATAAAATTGCCATTTTCATCGATGGCACAGCAACGACAACACAAGCAACATTCGCATAGTACACGCCATGGTGGACAAATGCAGCATAGCATCAGTATCGGTACTGTCAAAATGAATGCTATATCAATTGAGTAGAAACATATTGATATAAAATATGAGACAAGTATTATCACATTTGAACTCTAAACTGCTCTCAAATTTGCCCGGAAATGTGACATTTTATATAAATGTAGCATGCAGTGATGGCTGTATATGCTTAGTGATTTGATTTCAGTGATCATTTGTTATATTCTTTAATGCAACTCTTCGAGAGGAAGTTATTTGTCAATATGAATAAACAACATACCGGTAGCTATAGCCGTTAAACTGAGGACCATAAGAAGAAAGAGCACAAAGGGATTGAAGCGCCGACAGCATGCCAACATTTTTGTTTTCGGCTCACATGGCGAAAATTTGAACATAAAATGAGACCTGCCTTTATAATAACAGTTTATCGAATCCTAATTAGAAAATCATTTATACCCTTTTTAATCTTGCCAACTCATTACTTCAATTCAGTCTAAATTAATTTAACTTATTTTCCTCTTCTCTATACTCCGCTTCACTTCATTGTGTCACATTCTTTGCCACATTTTTAAAATTTTTTCTTGTTCCATTCTTTTTTTTGCATTCCTATACTTATTCAATCCATTTTTATCATTTCATTTAGCTTTAATCCATGCATTTTCAAAGAATATAGAAAGTACACAATTAAACAGTCTAAAGAACGAACATGGCGCAAAATGTGACGTCCAATCTTTTTCAGCATCCCAGTAGTCATCTACCTGAGTATTTGCTGCTCGGCTACAAATCGCAAGAACAGCAATGAAAGGCAACGCTTTAACAATATGCATTTTATGCCGGATTTTCTATTTCAGTTTCTTTTATGCATTCACTGTTTTAAGAACTATTAAGCTGTAAAGGGTTTGAAATTCTTAACTGATTTAACTGAAATTAAATTCAGAACCGACAAAATCTAATTAAATCTCATAGATTTGGACCGGAATCATTACATACAAAATTATCATAATTCAGCTTGTTTTGAATTGTCAGACGGCCATTCTTCTGAGTACTGCTGTCTTATTCGGATTCAAAAGAAAAAGCTATCATAGACAAAACTGTTCATTAACTATATGCTTCAACTTCTATACTCTCAAATGCAACAAAAAAAGAATGATGTAACAAACTTAGTAGAGAAACGACAACCGTTGCAGGAAGAAGTTTAAGAATTGCCTGCAAATAATCTATGGCAACTATATGTAGCTTATAATACTAAGTCATTACAATACATTTTTGCATATTGCCAAATGACAATTTCTCTCTCTCTCTCTCTCCCTCCCTCTCTGATAAATCTTCTCATCTTGGAGACATTCAATACTTCAGCCTTCAAGCTCTTTAACATATGGAATGCGGGAAAATATACTCTGGCAAACACTACATTCCAACACCTTACATTATGAAACTCCAGTTTCTACTCTCGATAATCTTCGAAACTAAAATTCACTAACCCCTACCCTTAATTAAAATCAAAAGAACTTCCGACTCTATATCGAGATGCAAATAAAATTCAGCATTTCGAATTATCGCTACCGAATAACAATTAGTGATGACAACAGGCTCAGTAGCTTTTGCCTCAATTAGCTTCCCCAGGTTAAATACAAAGCTTGAAATTATTAATTTATCAACAACACGAATTTGTACTGCAAAAAATAGAAAACCATATACAAAAATATAAATCCAATGCATATACAAAAGTTATAGAATAAAACAAGTACAATATTTAAAAACTTATAAAAAACCAATATGAAAACCACTGCAAACAATATTACTTAAAAACGCTTTCAAAAATGTACTGATATACATTACCGGAACAAAAAAATCTTTTTTACTTCTAAATTTCGGTTAAACTCAATACAAAATTACTTGACTGATCCAACTGAAACTTTCAACAGAGCACTGACAAGAATTCTTAACTATGATTTTATACATGAATCCCAGTTTTTGAATACATGAAGTCACTGTACATATAATTGATATTATAAAGACGTAATAAAGCGGATAAACAAAGAAAACATAACACATAATCACTCACCAACACTACTTTTTAAATTCTTCATCAAGTAAATTAAAACTACAATATTTGAAAACATCAAGAAGTAATAGGGAACAAAAATTTGTAATTTAAATTACGAATCCATCATTTCTCATAACAAGACGCACAATAGTAATTACTAACTCGCCGTTTTAACGGCAAACATTTAGAATGAAAATTTTTATGGCAGCGATTACATCGTACGCAATCATTCGCATTCAACTCCAAACCTGGCTCACAGGCACATAGTACCTAAAAATATACAAATTAGCGTTTTTATTTTAAAAATGTTCTGCGATATAAAACACTTTAATTTCGATCATTCCATCACAGTAGTTCACATTTTCCTAAAATTTGAGACTAAAGCTAGTTATCAAAATCTTTCGACAGAAAGATTTGGTACAACTATTTCAAAAAAAATTTCATATTAAATAAAAGAGATCTTATTCAGAATGTATCCTTCCAATGTCTAAATTCCAATAAAAAATGTGAACCATACTATATCTTTGGACACTATTGACATCAAAAATACCTCTAATTTCTTTTATTAGTTTTCGAAATAGGAAGTATATAGTAAGATAATAACTACTAAGAATAAATATTACGCATACATGTCACTAAACGACTTTGTCCTATGTCTCATTTGATTAACAACACAATTAGAAAATGGTCTGAAATAACTATTAACCCTTATAAAATCTTTCTCTTGTTGATGCTCCTGTTGTTGTAATGGTGGATTCTGCGGTGCTACAAAATTCCGTGCCAGTTCTGCTTGCTGAAAATGAAGCTGTGGATTGACTGCATCGTCAATAAATGAGCCCTGAACAAGCACATCACGCGACGCAATAGAATATTCAGAGTAACTGGAGTGCGGGGTTGCAGTCCGAAATGAGCTTTCGTCTCGGAATCTACTCGTTGTAGCAGAATCTTCAACTACGTAAGGACTATGTTGAGATTTGGCAGCCATAGAATATTTCTGCTGCTCTTTCTTGTTATGCAACCTTACTGCGCTTGGTTTGTTGTATACAGGTACTTGATAGGAATGTCCCGGAGCAGTAAACTTCGATGATGCACTTGCAACTGATCCACGCGACTCAGAATGTACACTAGAGTGAAGTGAACTTCTATTACTTTGTGAAGATCTCGACCCAGAACTGGCCGAAGAATGACGTGAGGTCCAACTTGCTGCACGATCTTCAGGAGTGAGTACTTGCTGAGACGGAATTCGCGGCATTCTGAAGTCTCGAGATGATGGCGATACACGGGAGTGTGCTGGCACTGTTGTTTTAGGATTCTGAAAAGGCACTTCCTGCAGTATGCAAGATTCAGCAGGCGTCATCACAGAAATACCACGATCATCAGATATAATATAACTTTCCGAACGAGCTTCATAGTTTTGAGCATCGTAAGGCTCTTCAGAAACCGGATTTTGCTGCAAAGTAAGGTGTGCATTTGCCAACGGATGATGAGGTGGTAGTCGAAACGGAACAGTTTCCTGGGATGAAACCGAATGCTGTGATGGACTGAGTGGAGCTGTATGGCCGCGGTAAGGCAAATCTTGCAATGTGAAGTCAGTTCGTACTTCTAGCGGTGGCGGTAGTGCAGGCGGCGGTTGATCATACATTCGTAATTCCTGTGATGAACCAGAATGACGAGATGCAATTTGTAAATGCGAACGGTAAGAGTGTTGAGATGGACTCCGTTTTACAACTTTGCCAGGAACACGAAACTGAGTTATTTCTTGAGAAGCTGGACGTGGAATGGGTGTTTGCAAAGCACTGCTTCTTTCTTGCAGAAGATTATGTGTCAGTTCAGCTAATGATCTAAAATATAGCAGTACAAGGCAAAGAAAAAAGTTCAGTATTTCAAAAGATCATGGAAATTGAGCTAATGAAAATTAAAAAGTTTAATTGGAAAACTTGAATTTTATTGATAAAAAAGATCTATTAAAAGAATTTATAATAATTAACAAGATGAAACATGCGTCAGCTACTAATATCTTAGAAAGGATTAAAAAATTGCTTACGGAGCAATCCTTTTCAAACCATCTTGTAATTTCAATTTCTCAAGCAGCATTTCGGAATAAAACCACCGAACACTTTTGAGAACTACTTTAGCAGCTTGACCAGGAGTATTAGCGCCTTAAAAAAGTGATTTATAAAATTCATGATTTTAGAAATACAGCTTAACAAAAGAGAAAATAATACCAATTCGTCGGTTCAATATTCCTCTTCCACTGTTTGACCAAGGCGAACAGAAAGGTATTTCAGGTGGCCAACAATCTGGTTGAGTGCCATCATATGGATCTGTCCATGGGAAATTAACGTGCATCATCATATCATCCAGCAAATCTTAAAATTTCTAAATTCTAGAAATACATGGAAATATAAAAAATACAATCTGCTTATTTTATTAGATGGAATACAGATAAAATAGGAAAAGTTAAATTACCTACATGATGAAGCCAACCTACGAAAAAGTTATCTGTTATTAATTACCTTCATACACTAATGTGCAGCTTTGAGCTAATTTTTCTAACAAAACAAGCTAATAAAATGAAAACTAAACGCCAATCCGACAATGATGACACTGAAATTGTTAAAACCAAAACAGCTGGAAAATTTATTAGTTCAATGGAACAGCCTACCTAATGCACGGTCTTCAGTCATTCGATCGACAACGGTGTCGTCGTAAAGTTGAAGCAAAGGCAGTGTTATGGCTTGCTAAAAGTTATTGTTAAAATGAAAATAATACATCAGAACAACAGAAATATTTTTTTGATACTGCGCTGTGATAAAAGAATGTACAGCAGTCAAGAAATGCCTCAGCATAAATTTAGGACATTAAATGAAATACCAACATTATCAAAGCCGTTATTCATAGCCGTAGGCAAACAATGAGGTATGTTTGAACTTAAAAAGGCCGATATCAGGGTTTTGTCACCAGATAAGCTCAGCTTATTTCGTTCATCCGCGAAAACCACCAAAGTTCTGCACGTTGAATGACTTTGAATCTTTATGACTGATTCAAAAATCATCCGTACATCTGCACCCATTTGATCGTAACGGATTCGTAAAACTAAAACTAGAGTGATTATAAACTAAACTTTAAATTTCATTAGCAAAAGGAGTGCAAAACAATTTTTAGTCAAATAATTAGGCATTCATATACATAACAAATTTCCACAGATATTTACGCGAAGTATATAATACTTCATACTTCAGCTCACCTGAATTCCGAAAAAGTGAAAGCTGATCTTCTAAAATCCTTTCATTGGAAAGAGGTATTGCGGTAAAAGTTGAAGTAGCCGGAACATCACCTGCAGAAATTGCAGGATCGGAAAACTGTTCACCGGCTTCATTACCTGGTGATGAATGAGGAGTTCCGGAAGTAAAGCCTACAGATGAAACTGGCTCTTGAACTTCACCCGACTGTATTTTTGCTGCTTCCACCTTTTGTATTTCTGATGCCATAACAGCTGAAAAAAATGACTACTAAAACAAATAAAGATCGTTCTATATTGATAGAATTGACATTTATATTGCACAAAGACTTAAGCAGTTGATCGAAAAAGTAAAAAATGGCGAATTTTCTGCTTTTTGAACAACGGCATGACACATTCTAATCTCCGTGTATACGCATAACTTCATAAAAAAAAAAAAACCTGAAGATTCTTCTGACAGCAAATTGACATTTACACCAACAGTGCATTGCCGCACCACTCGTGTACCTACACTCGTATCTCCTTCAATATTCCGTGAGTCTTCGTCATAATCTACAACATCAATTATGTCAATTAACGACATCAAAAAACAGTGCTCTTGCAAATTCAAATAGAAAGTGAATGAAATAAAGATTCAAAAACAATATCACTGTAATAGAACAATGTAACAAATCAAATTATAGGAATTTCAAGCAAATTAGATGATTGTTCAACATCTTTTGCTAAGCAAATATGAAAGATGTAAAATATAACAACTTTTACCTGGTCCAGAAAGTCCAAAATGATATTCCATGAAGCTTATATAATGTTTGAAAGCGTATTTCAGAATATCTCTTTCAAGATCCACAATCGAATGCTTTTCAATTTCTGGAAAATTGAATCAACGGTTAAGAACACGTACATGAGAACCATAAAGATTCTCCTATGCAATATAAAAAGTTAATGTTGCAAACTGCGGTCCAGGCCCATGCCTTTTCAACCCATACAAAAAGTAAAAATTTAAACTCACCTTTTCGTTGTTTAAGATTGCTTAAGCTAAGGAGATCGTTATTCGGATCATAAAATGGAACAGACGGCGGCCAGTAATCTGGATTATGCGATACGCCAAACCATGGCTTCCAAGGGTAATGCATTGCTTCCAAGAATTTGTTAAGCATTGCACGTACATCAGAAGTGCTAGCAATATTAATTTCTAGGTTTGGTAAGCATCTAACCAACGGAATTGAAACAAGCTAAAAAATGAATGTAACTAGTTTCGTTTTATTTGATGCATCGAATTGGAAAATTCAGCAAACAAAGATACCAATTTAAAAAAAATGGAAATCAGTCAAATACTACTACAAAACATAAGTATGTAACTAGAAAAGCTATTCACTAAAGAAAAAGCAGCAATCTAACAAGCTTAAGCAGTACTCCTCAACTGAAACTTTCCAAAAATGATTAAAATGAATCAAAATATAACCTCATCATCATCGACGCCTTCCTCATCAACCTCTTCCCGCTCTCTCCACTTATTTTTCAAATCTCTAATAATGGATGAGTGTAAACAAGCATCGACGATGTACTTACTACCATGCAACTTCAAATCACCGCCTCGACTCACATGAATTGTGGCAATTTTATTATCACTTAGTGCATTATACTGGGCAATATACAATTCTATTTTCTTTAGTTTCTCCGTCGCATCCTCTTCAGTGTATTTTTTCTCTGAAATTTTCTGTCAGTTTTCTTTTCAAATTTTGCTAAATATCTAACCTCTGAAAGAATGAAAAAATCTTTAGATAAACCTATTGACCGCCCAAGCTAAGTGAAGATTCTGCAATCTCAATGTGTGTCAGTTACCTGCAACATGAACGCACAACTCAATCTATAACGATTCGTAACCCAGAAAAGCACGCTTCATTAAGTTAGAATGTCTGATCAGGCACGTGTGAATAAGAAGTCACCAGAAATGAAAATCGAATTAGATCAACGAAAACAGGTGGAACTTTATATAAGAATAACTGACTTTTTTCAGCGCATGGTAAAACGCCAGCTGGAGACACAAATGTAATATAATCTTGACCTGGTTTTGGATCCTCCGATCGCTTTCGCTTTTTTCCTGTAAATAAAGAGGCGAAATGTGTTTAAAAGACTGAATTGCACTCCAAAAATATATGAATTCATAAAGATATCTGCGCTTTCTAACAAGGAGTAGCAAACTTTTATTTCAGGAGAGAACTTACTTGGATGTCCAGCTCTTTTTTCAACATCTGACAGGCCTTCTACAGAAGCAGAAAGAACGCTGGATGATGGACTGGAACGAGCTGGTGTCAAGATTGGTGGTCGACTGAAAAAAATTGCATAAATAACAAATACGGGATAAAGTAAAAGTAGCATGAAAAAGCCTGAAAAAGGTAGTGGATTTCATTACATGCTTTGAAGACATTTTAGAGAGCTTCGCTAAAGTTTCACTCATTACGCGACAAGAAAAAAACTCTCCATATGCACGATCAAGATAACAATACAATGAACTATAATATAAAACTTATCTTTTCAAAACATATGGTTAACTAGCAAATCAAAACCAACTTCAGTTGATCTGGAAAGCTTCGTTCAAGTGGTACACCTGCTCTGGCAATTGCCCGTTCTACTTCCTGCACTTCATAAGTTACCTTGGAATTATCAGAATCCATAGTACTATGCCCTTGCTGGATATTTTGCCGAACATCAGACTGCCGCTCTTCTACAACTGTTGCTTCTAAAACATAACTAACATTTATAAACAGTCGATGTAGTCTTCGTCGAAAATTTGACAGGGGTGATAAGTAGATCAGCAGTTCAAAAATCCGAGTTGGCAAAAGAAAAGAACTGTACAGTCTTACAAAAAAAAAGACGAATCAATATAAACAACAATATAATGTCAGCATTATAAAATCACTTGCCTGAAGAAAAGACCAAAATAATATCTCCAACAAAAGATAAAATGAGATACAATATAGAAAGTTCATTTTCTAACAATCTAACTCTCCGAAACATTACAACATTAGAATACATTTCGTACAAATGAATATATCCGTATTTTGAATATATCCGTGAACCTACACTCGAAGTGTTGGAGGAGCAATAAAACGATACCTGATGTAAAATTAGATGCAAGTGCCAATTCATTTGATGAATTTCTGGGGAATGCACTATTAGAAGTGTTATTTGTATTGCAGACCTGGTTGAAATTTGCAACTTTTCCGGCATTTTGCATGAAATTATAGAGAGATTCTTCTTCAAAATCATCCAGTTCGAAATCATTACCCACAATCTCCTCACCTTCACTAATTGCTACGTTCTCCAAACCACTTGTTGATGCGCCGTCATCATGTCGCCTTCAACATTCTATCAGTTTCAATGAATTACTTTAAAAAAAAAAAAAAAAACTGATATTAATAGACACACCTTAAATTCCTATATTTTAATTTCAAAGTGAAAAAATCACACTACAGTTGACAATTTTAACGTCGCCAAAATTAATGAACCTCAAAATCACACAACATAAACTTACACAGAATTAGCATAGGTTGCTCCTTGTCCAACCCACGATCTTTTTGGTCGTGCAACTTCCGCCATGTCAAAATCAGCAGTCTCTAGTTTCTTCCTAAACATTGAACTTAAAAAATGAAGTTTTGGTAAAGTGACTTACAGAGAGAAGAGAAAGTTGCATGCTCGAAATATAGGAAGCATACTCATCGTTGTCGAGATTTTTCTTGCCAGCCATACGCTGTTTGAGATGCATTTGTCTTCTAATATATCTTGCCCGTAGGGCACCAAAGAGTGCTTTTACTTTATCCCACTCCGGAAAGGCAGATAAAATAGAGCCAGGACCATACACAGGAAAACCAGCTGCCGTTGCTTCCGAAATAGCTGCTTTTCGTCCCTTAACAGTGTCAAATTTTACATGAATACAGAAACATACTTAAAACTCTTATGAAATGTATCTTCAGCTCATCAATTAGGGGATTAAATTGAGAAACAGCTAAATTTCAGATTTGATATTATTTGCTATTTCGGGTGATACATTTGGGTAAAGCCTTTCTATCTGGTTAATAAGAGCCAAAAAATTTGATGTGTCAGCTTAAAATAAACGTATCATGTAAAAATTTTCAAGTGATTGCAATACCAAAAGCTTCTGAAATGAATTGCGCACCTTTTTCCAAGCTTCTTTCGGATTCATTCCCATGATTATATCTTTTCGGCAACGTCGTTCAATTTCTTTCGCTCTGGCTTCCACTAGTCTTATTGGTTTACAACGTTCATGATGTACAGGATACAATTGGCTAACAACAACGCCATCTACCATTTTTATACGTGCAATTTCACCTGGAATTTGATTCAGAGATATATTTTTAAGTGAACTGAATCTTTCAAATAGTAAAATAGTTCACCGCTTTTGTAGGTTTGGTGTAGAGTATCGCAGCGCGAACATCTGAAATGTATTGTTCGTCCTGATTTTGAATGAGATGCATGTCTGTACAACCGAACCTCATCCGGATTGAGAGGTACTGTTAATGAAGTTTGCTTGAAGCGGCGTGAAAATGAAAGATAGTAAGGAGAATTTGGCGGAGCTCTAAAAAGACTAGCTTGAATTTGAGATATATTAATATCATCAACTTATACATCACTAATCTATAATTTTACCATACTCATAAGTATAATCTTCCATTTTTCACTTGTGTGAAAAGAGATAAGAAAATTTATTCTCATATGTAGACACATAATTATCGTAATAAACTTCAATGTACCAATATTTGAAGTTATTCAATCTTAATATTTTTTTTATATTTTTTGTATTAACCTAGCTCATGGCTGAAATACTAACAGAATATTTTCATAGAAATAACATGAAAGCATCTGCAAAACTCTTATGTAATTTTTGCTAGCGAAATGTATCATAATTCCCTTCTATGATATTACACTCAGTAAACAAAAAAAAACTAACACAATCGGAGCATTGACACCAGGAATTAGAGCTTTATTCACATTGTTCGCCAAAAATTTGATTCTTCCATTTTCTCGCAATGATTGATTAGTATCTGTACCGTCACCACCAATTTCACAACCACATCTCGATTCAACACTGTTTTCTACGCACTGTGCGTCCTACACATAAAATCCAAAATAAATTCACTAACATAAATGAGTACGACTATCCTTTTCTCAAAAATTTTCCATAAATGTTTACAACATTTTTACCACTCACTGACTAAAAAAATGTTAGACAGTATGAACTGCCGATACATGTTCAGCATTGAAAGACTGAATGGTTTTGAGTATGTGAAAATTTATGTTTACAATTAATTCAAAAAAAGCTCATTTTATGATCACACATTCCCTTCCTTTGCTCATCATATTCTCTTTATTAAGATAACGACACTTCGATTCTACCTTACAATCAAAATAGCCCTTGATAAATACAGAAGCGAAAGCTTCCATATCTTCATCTTCAAAGTTCAAGAATTAAAATAATAATAACAACGTATTTCTTTTTGCGACATGATAAAAAATTTTGCAGCTAACGAAGTCATAAGAAATTATGGTGTTACAGATATTTGCTTTTTATGGAAATTCCAAAAAATCTGCACTTTTAATACTGACAAACGTAAGTGCACTGAATTTTGAAAATGCTTAAGCTAAATCCATAAAAATTATTAAAAACATCCAAGAGTACATTAAAATATTTGATCATGACATTTTCTTTCTATGATTAACAAACGGATCTGCCGATTTTACTGGTTCATATCGGCTATTTCTTTCCCCAGCATTCCGGTAAAGTTAGCTGATAAAAACCCAAATAACTTCATTTACAATAAACCTGACTGAATTAATTTTCATGAATGCTTTATATAGATGTACAAACACACACATGATTTGAAAAAAGTAGCTAGGATGAGCGATAAAAAGGAACGGACAAAATTAAAACTCAAAGCTGACTCACCAATTCATCCAGCATTCGGCTTTTCACTCTCACTGTTGTTGTAGATACTGGACTACCCGTTATTTTTTTGATCAGTTCTGCACCTTCACGTGAGTTAATTTTCTGATTTCTGTAGTCACGTAAGACATCTCTCACTCGTGGATGCCGCCAATCAATAGAACATGGTGGACCTGAAACATTCACGACATTCTGAAGGAACTACATTCCTATCAAGTCAATCCAGCTATTTGAAATTCTTGAATACAATATTGTATTAATCAAGTTAGCAAATGAGCAATAAGAAATCGGATGAAATATTACGATAAGTTCGAAATGAAGGTGGCGTCCACACAGAAATAGCATTACGACTCTGCAAGCCATTGTTATCGTGTCTTTCCTCAATATCATCCCCTATAGGACCTGGTTCCTGTACCACTCGGTTGGTACTCAATCCCAATGCACCTTCACCATTTTGGTTAGCGTATTCTACAGTACTGTAGTTCATCATATCATAGCCTCTGGTTCGTGGAGAATGCCCTGCATAACGGTTACTGGCAGAATAATCCGCTTGACTTGTTTCACTAATGGATGCAGTATCCTCTCCAAAACTTTGAGCCGATCGGCCTGAAAAAAAAAAAAACAGTAAACAGTTAGAAGCGCGGCATTGCAATTCTCAATCAGTTAGCAATACTTGGGGCTAATAATTTGAAGAGATTTCTTTGAACTGTTCATCTCGAATTTAAGCTCCCAAAAATCAAAAATGTTTGATAAAGAATCACAAAAAAGTGGTACAAATCAATTAGAGAATTAAATTTTGTAAAATTATTATTATAACGAAATTACAACTAATTTAGTAATTCTAATTCGACTAGTGCAGTAGTCTTCTATTCCAAAACCGATTCGTGATGAATCCAAAGGACTTTGTTTCAACTGACAGAGTGCTACTAGCCTGCTAAGGATAACAGATTTATTAACTATTTACAGAAATCTCTTCCGGCTTAAAACTAAACTATTAACTAACAAAAGACAATTGAAGATGGATGAGAAAACAAGAAACCATTTTCTGAACAAGTTTGTTCATCATAATCTATTGGTTCAGTTTTGACTGTTCGTAATCGTGCATATGTCTTGAGCGGTTGCTGTGAATGATCCGGATTGTAGAACCCACTACTGCTACCGTAATCGCCGTTAATAGAACCACTGTCTGCACCGGTACAGTTACTTTTCGAGAGATGGATTTCCTCCAAAAACTGTTGATCTTCATTTTCATACTGAGAGTCAACGATTAATGCTCCACGTTCCGGAGTAAACGCCATGTAACGGCACAAAATTCACAGCTATTCTAAAGAATTCAGTTTATTCTGACGCTTTCAAACTTTACTTCCCTCTTACCTGAAACTTAACTGTGTCCAAGACTAATGAGCACTCGGAACCACTAAACAAATATTTCTAGAAATTCTCTAATGTACGTCAACACAGCATTTTTTGAAGAACACACTATGAGGTGATATACTTCTCATAATTACTGAGAAATATTTACGCCACTTAGAATAACTCATCAACTCCATCTTCTACCTGAACTATATTTCTGATCTGATCTGATTTTCTTATGTATGAAATGACAAATGCATCATTGAGAGTAGTGCTCAAATTATATACAGCATCGAACTGTGCTGAGTCATATTCTAGTAATTTGGAAATTTCTACCTTGTCAGAACAAAACGTAGTGAAGTTCTCAAATGAAATTTATTTCTGTGCCAGTGACAGAACAATTTCCAAAAAGGCAAGTACGTCACGAATGCCCAAAAACAAATTCTTCGTCAGCGTCTGTAATTGAGAGGAAACGATGAAATCATATGTGGGCAAATGAAGTGTCTGTTCAACATATTTTTGAGACCGTACTGCCGTCTCCCGCGTTTATGATCAAGTTCGTCAGCCAATTACTGCGTTTCTCATTCAGCATAATACAAAATAGCAGAGTAACAGCAACCCTGTAAAGGACGTTTACAAAAGGCTTAGGCTTGGTGGTACTGCAACGTTAACTCTACTTTATTAGGCTATAATGTCATGCGAGTGACACTCTCTTAACCAAATATTACCATCGGCTTATCATTATTGGACCGCTCTAAGTTCAGTTACAGGGTGAAATGAATGCCTTGCCTATGAAGATTTAACTGCCAATAAACTCTCATTCTCCCCAGAAAAGACTTAGTCCAATTGAGCACTTTTATCTGAAGCAAAGCCTGCGCTGCATAGTAGTATCTTCAGGACAAGGCACTTTGACACTTTACCTACTTATCACCATCACCCTTCCTTCTCATCGAAAACCACGACATAATCAACCCTCTCAACTTAGACAGAACTGGAATAATAACGCGGCCCGTAGCCCAGTGAATAAATACCATAGTGCAACAACATTGTCTCTATGTGAAATTTCATTGTGTGCCCGTGTTTTTGTCCATACGTCTTTAATAGGTAAGTTAAAGTTCCGAGAGTTTAGAGACATTGCTATTTAAATTTGTTGTTTGTATTGATAATAAGTGATGGCATTTACGATTGGTGAATTGTCAGTGTCAGAATGGGAGGCATAATTTGTCGAGTTAAAGTTTACATACGCATTGAAGTTCTAAAGCTATGAAAAAGTTGCATGTGGTAACGGCTTCATCTATATTCATTTGTCCTCCTTAAATTTGTTCAACTTCATTTTTTAAACTTTAACAGCTAAGTCAATCAATTGCTGTTTCTCATTATGTTTGATTTCGGATTAACTTAACATAGTTCTTACAGCATTTCTCAGTTTGTTATTTAACATTTCTGACGTCGGTTTGCAGCAATTGGTGTGTATATTAAATAATTTCATGATGCTAAATCCTACGATTTGTAAACGCATTCTTATTTTCTTGAGGAATGGAGTATATTCAAATAGACTCATCGACAATATCAGCGGTAATCGAAAGAGGGATGGTGCTGGTTGAGGTGATAAGTTAGATGTCGTCTATGTCAGATCTATGAAAGTTATAAAACCACTTGGCGGGACTCAACTTTCTGAAGGTTGTTTATACTAGTGTCCAAAGGAACTGTTTGTTTGGAAATGAATTCGCTGTGTTATCTTATATTTGATAACTGACCTGTTCATTAAGCTATACTGGAATTACCGCTGATATTGTCGATGAGGTCTATTTGAACATATTTACTGGAATAAACACTCACCAAAATCTCAGCGCACCGATGTATCTTTTTCAGCAGAAAAAAGATGTTCCAAATTATTTTGTGCAATGTATTTTAATTTATTGACATGAAAAGTTATTTAATACAAAACAGTACACTGTATCAAAGTCTGTGGTCACCCGAAGACATACTCCGGCATTTCGAGCTCTTTTTATAGAAACTTATTTTCCTGCAAAAGAGTAGTGCTTTTCTTTCTGTACCTGCCGCTTCAACTTCATGCATATATATTTTGGTTGTCCAGAGATGTCTTGTCAAATCGCAGTGTTTTTTTTAACTGCCATTTACCCTTTCCAACATTGTAAGGAAGAAATAAAAAGCATTTTGCTAAAAACGATTCTTATTTGTCAATAACGATTTGAAAAAAGAAAATTCAGGAAACCTTGGTGTAATATAAAAGGCATTATAGTCCCCTTCGATCAATGTACTATAAGGCGAACTTGCTTTTCGTACTCGATAGGCCTGTCTTAATGATCGAAAACAAACAATCACCGTCGCAAAACTTACCGTAACTGAAATTCACTGTTTTGTTAAAATAATCATTTTGGTTATAATAAAAATCTGATATTCAATTATGAACTTTCACGACGTATTTATAATTTCTAATCTTCCATGAATTAGATCCTATCGGAAATTGCTCCTATTCTCTCTTCACACAGGAGCACAGAAACAAGCTTGGTCAAACATATTCTAGATCAGAAATATTAAAAAAACTTTCATCTGATACTACATGTTGCTTTCCAATTAATACACATTTTCGTGTGATATTGAGTATGTTTCACGTCATAGTGTTTAGAAATAAAAAATACAGTAAAGTTTTCCACGAGCTTAACTAATGTTAATTAACTCATTGATCAAAATTTGCAAGTTTTTTATATAGTTAGACTGATTTTAATGGAATATAGTAAAGTACCATTGAAAACAAATCTGACAATAACTGCAAATGATGTAGGAAAGGATTAGAAGAATCAATTTGAAGTGTTTTAATTATTTTGCGTCGAATTTTCCTACAAATAGTTCATAAAAAGATCCAACTAACATTCGATCAGACCGAAGCAGAGAAGAACAACGTGGACGTTACTTATTGCTCCGTGACACTGGCCTCGATCACAATTATAATTTATTAAAGCAGCACTATCCACAAACATTGTTATGCTCATTACCATGGAAAACATTGAAAAAAGCAGCAGTAATAATTGCGCTGGGCGGTCTAGTCTTCTGGAACTACTTTGGCTGTTTTTTTTCTATGTTTTTTGATATGACTAGATCGATCAAGTTTGAATTTAATTGATTGTGAGATCAATTAAATTATTAGCCTAACTTGCTTACAAAATAATATCCATTTTAAGATGGTTCTTTAATATTTATATTGGCTTTTTCTGTTAGAAAGTCAAATTTAACCTTGCCGAAATAAATGAGAAGATTCCGCAGACGATAAATGACAGTGATGCTGTCACAGCAAATGCTGTTTCCGAGATATTGTTGGTAAGAACATCGAATACAAGCAACACAATGCCAAGTGGTAAATGACAAATGCCAAGCATTATACCGCAGAACCGACATGGCCATATCTGTGCGACATTAAGTTGCATCGAATGAGAAAGTTCTGCAATTATTTATAGAGTTACAATCAAGTGACTTAAAAAATCAAAGCAACGAGTAAGAAGAAATAAACTGAGTTAATGTTATAGCAGAAACTATTCTTCAAGTACTACCCTAAAAATAATCGTTTATAAATATTTAAAAAGAAGTAGCAAAATTAGAGAGTATCAAGAATAATAATGGATAAAACTAAGCAAAAATAATTCTGCAACATTAATAATAATTGATGGTCATATCTTGCTAAAATTTGTTAGATATATTTTTATTTGTTGCTTACCTTGTCTAACAGCAGGTGAAGACGATTTTGTCATCAAAGGTTTGAGATCAGTTTTTTCCATTTTCATATGCGTACAAGTTTTTGCCACTAAAAATTATTCTCATAATTAGTGGGATTTCTAATCTATCACCTTATCTTGAAACTGAACTTTAATGTGACACATTTATTTGTTTCCCAATAAAGTGGAGGACACGAAGAAGCACACGATTTTAACACATGATTTCTAAGAAAAAACAAATTTCAAGTATATAACTCACTGTAACTATAATTATCTTTCTAAATGATATTCAAATTTTTAAAAGAAACATTGCACTGTGATTAACTGCTTTTCAAAAGTTGAACGAAGGAAGAAGAAACGTCTGAAATTGTGCGCCATACTATTAAAGGTAATTTCTTGTAGACATAGCTTTTGAATTCTTCTATTTTTGATTTTGTACTTATTTCACTATTTTTTTTGAGATTAGTGTTCATCAATTTCAACCACTTTTTGGTAATGACTGATTTTTTTTTTTGACTTCAAACCAAATCAATTATTATCAATCTGCCATGCTCTTCGATTACAATTTTAGCAATGGCTTACGTTTCAAGTAATACGTATTCCAAATTGGGTACGTTTTTGAAACTCACGAAATTCAGTAATTATCGAAGTAAAAGTGCCCTTATATGTGACATTTCTTCTTTGTTGAGATCTTCTGTATGAAATTTATAAAAATTAGCAATAATGTGCCCCATCTCAAGTGAGACATGTTTTGATTAAATTAGTTTGATTGTAATATTTTTGCAACTGATAAGACCAACCTTGAGAAATGATTGCTTTTTATGATCTGATGCACAACACAGCCGAATTGCTATGCTTAATTGTCCTTTAATTGTAGGAAACATAGGATCGTCTGTTATTTTTAACTGAATCCATGAAATTATTAAAAGGTTATATGCCTGAAATAAAAACTCTAATTTGGAAGATGTAAAATATTTCTCATTATTCTCAAGAACAAAATCAATGATTGAAATTGAGTCCTATATTTTCACTAGTTTACAATGTCTGTTCAATTACATTTATCATATCAGAGACCAATGAATTTAATAGGTAGATTCGTGGCATAAAATCAAGGATCAAGGTAAAATGTATAATTTTATACAGATATTTGCATTCATCCTTAAATTATTTTACATTCGGCATAGTCGCCTTCAAAATAAAATGTTACAGTGTGA